AATGGTATGTGTGGTGGCTGTAGCTGCTCTTAGAAGCTGGGAACCCTGGGGGTGCTGCCCTGTACCCTAAGGCAAGGCCACAGGGCCCTAGGAGAGATGGAGGACTCACCCAGGAAACCACAGAAGCTGAGGCAGGAGCAGCATGTGCTGACACTGTGCCACCTCTTGAGAACTTTGTCAGTTAAGCTCGGTGGTGTAAGGCTGATGACATCAGCCTCCGGCGCCGCTGTAGATAATTTAAAAGGCCCAGCAAATGCTGAGCTAAGAGAAGACGAAGGAGACCAGGCACAGGACTGGTTGAGCCCAGGAGTTTTTCTTTCTTTTTTTGTTTGTTGCGGGTAGAGTGAGCCTGGGGTGCTGGCAGGAGACCTATGGCTACATTAACCCTCAGAAGCCAAGCTGAAGTCCCCGGAGATTCATCATATATAGTTCCTTTTTTTTTTTCTGTGCATGTCCCATGTTGGATCAGGGTTCGTGGCCGGGACCTGGATTGAGAGAGCCACCTGGGAGAGTGGGTACAGGGCAGGATGCCTGACAGAGGCAGAAACCACGGAAAAGACAAAGACTGGCCAAACCCTAATGAAGAGGCTCAGGGGACAGAGGCAGCAGCAGCTGGTGGTGATATTTCAATACGTGGTTGGTGAGTGGATGGGGTGTAGGGGAGATGGAGCCCCAAGGCCAATTCCATGGGAACCACGAGCACTACCTGTCTGGGCGTGAAATTACATCACTGAACCTCTCCTTCAAATATGATTTCATCAAGATGTGGCAGGTGAGTAGGGGACAGCCTAGCTTGGGAGCAGAGAAGAGCTCATGGGACCTAAGTCAACACAGTGGAAGCTTGAGAGTATGACATAGAATCCAAATCAACTCTGTCAAAAACCCTTATGGCATCTCTTGACAATAAGATAAACCATGCTAATCAATTTCTTGGTTACCAGATTAAATATAACAATTACTATGGACCAACAGTCTCATCATCATTGAACAAAATTAGATATATCTAAGCAGATTAATGATACATTTACACTGTTAAGAAGTCTAATGAACATTCCATGTAATTTCTATACTGTTGTGAACCTTTATCAAGTTTTAGAACTGAAGTTATCATCACTTTGTTCATAGTGCATTTGTAAACTATACATGTTTATTTTTACCACTTATGTAGTATCCAAGGGTGGGTTTCTCTTTATTTTTGCCTAAATGTTAGTTTTTTAGTCTTCTAAGGGGCACTTTTGGCAGTTTTACACAGGAGAGATTCTGTTTCCTGGACACAGAACCCTACATATACAGGCCTTGTAGTTCTAGTACATTTCTACTGGGAGAATATGTTTCTACTTATTTCTACTGGGAGAACTTACCAGGAGTACATTTCTCCTGGTAGAAACTGCAGATGTACAAGTGTTCATTCAATTTCTGCAATGGGAAACATGCCTCTTTTGGGAGAAGAATCACACAGGTGGCCAACCTGGAAGATCTCCCTTATTAAAGAAACTCACAAAAATGAATGCTTATATGCTCCCCTCCCAGTCTAGTTCTGGAAGGAAGGGGAGCAGCAGGGCAATGGGGGACTGCTAACTCGGTGGCAGAGGGTGGCAATAGTGAGGCTGGGAACTTGACTTGGAGAGGTTATCCTTAGGGATACAGGACTGTGCTCCCCACACTTCCCCAGACTGGGTATATGTCCACAGGCTGCATGTATATAGCAGCATAAGTGCCTGGCGAATGCACAGACAACCAAGCATGCTCAGTCTGTGCCTGTGCACACTTTATGAATCCACAATATCAGAAAATAGAATTGCTACTGCACGTAAGTCCCAAAGATGGCACTTAAATGACTAAAAATCTGTCTCTTAGGGAAATGGAGCTCAGTCCCAAATGAGCACACAGGGTTCTTTAACACTGAAAATGACAGGCCTTGTCCCTAGCTTGTTTACAATTAATGGTGGTTGTACAGTATATGAATCGGCACAGATCTAATTACAGATCTGGGGCCTATAAAGAACCTAATAGGAAAATGCTATTGTATTTACAGAAATCTAAGATGACTTCAAATTTAAGATGACCATCCTCCAAAAAGTAGACTCATTACAAGGAAAATTAACCTTAGGCATCTTAAATTCATCCTTCCATACTTTTGTGGTAGGGAGAGCAGTGGCAGGGTGTCAGGTGCCAGGCCTCTACTCCTTGCTTCCCTGCCTTGTTCTCTTCCTGCGTCTACCCCCACTGTTGCCTACCCCCACCATGCACCCCCCTGCATGTGCCCCCTGCTGCCTGCCGCCACTCACTGCCTCTCCCACCTACTTCCTCTTCAGCCTACTCTCCCTATTCCCCCCCTGCAGCTTGCTTCCCGTACTCCCTGCTCTCAGCTCTTTTGTTTGCCCCTCCCACTTCCTGCCCATACATCCCCCTTACCATCTGCTAGCTCTGCTCCTCTGAGGCAGTCAGCAGCAGCAATGGTCCTGCTCAACTGCAGTCCAGCTCACTCAAAGACAAGTGATGGCAACTCCCAGCCAGGCTAAGTTAGGGATGGATGGACTGGGGCCAGAGCAGAAGGTAAAGGGGTAGGGAGAAGTGAGAGGGAGGGAAGCAGAGACTGAAGGGGCAGGCTGAGTCATGGGGACAAGGGGTAAGAGGGCAGGCTACAGTTTCTTCCCCAAAACCCCGTCTCCCCTGTGCTTTTCCTGGACATGTGTCATAGAGTCAGATAGAAATAGGGCTGGAAGAGACCTCCAGAGATCATCTAATCCAACCCCCTGCCTGTGGCACATCCCTTTCCAAACCATCCCATACAACAATAATCTAGTACAACAGAATAAAAAGGGGGGAGGGGATGGAAGGAGCAACCAAGCAAATCCCAGAAGCATAGGAAATACCCATGGTAGAAAACAGGCACAGCTATGCTTGCCTAGATCATCCCCTACTAGTGACTATTCAACCTGTTCTTGAACACCTCCAGTGATGGAGAGTCCACAACTTCCCTTGGCAGTCTATTCCACTGCCTCACTATTCTAACAGTGAGGAAGTGTTTCCAGATATGCAATCTAAATTTACTTCACTGTAACTTCAAGCCATTTGTCCACATTCTCCTCTCTGCAGCAAGAGAGAAAAGGTACTTTTCCTTTTCTTTATGGTAGCCCTTCAAGTATTTGAAGACCATTGTCATGTCCCTTCTTAAGTGCCTTTTCTACAAGCTAAGTATGCCTAGCTCCTTCAGTTTCTCCTCTATGACTTGCCTTCCATGCCCTTGATCATCTTTGTTGCCCACCTCTGGACCCTCTCTAACTTCTCCACATCCTTTTTAAAATGTGGAGCCCAGAAATGCACACAGTCCAGAAGAAGCCTAGTCAGTGCTGAGTAGAGAGGCACTATCGCATTATTAGGTCATGCACCTAATGCTTCTACTGATGCATCCGAAACCCACATTCACCTTTTGTGCAGGTGCATCACACTGAAGACTCATATTGAGTCTATGGTCTACCAAAACTCTCAAGTCATTTTCCGAAGAACTGCCATCCAGCCATGTGTGCCCCATGTTATATTTATAATTTTTGATTAATCCTCCCAAGGTGTAGCACCTTTCATTTGTTTGCATTGAACTGCATCCTGTTAGCTTTACCCCAACTTTCCAATCCATTGAGATCCTTCTGAATTGTGCTTGCATCCTCCAACACATTCATGATCCTTCCTAGTTTCATGTCATCTGCAAACTTGCTCAGGAAGCTTCCTATGCCAGCTTCCAAATCATTAATAAACACATTGAACAGCACTGGGCCCAAGACAGACCTTTGTGGGAACCCACTCAAAACTTCCTGACATTCTGACATGGACCCGTTAATAATTACCCTTTGCTTGTAGCCAGGGTGGATTTGATTTAAATCAAGTCAACTCAATTTCAATTATGAACTTGCTCCCCCTCTATGCAGTGCTGGTCAGGCCACAGCTGGAGTACTGTGTCCAGCTCTGGGCGCCACACTTCAAGAAAGACGTGGAGAACCTGGAGAGGGTCCAGAGGAGGGCCACTCGTATGGTTGGGGGCCTCCGTGGCCAGCCCTATGAGAAGAGGCTGAGGGACCTGAATCTCTTCAGTCTCCGCAAGAGGAGACTGAGGGGGGATCTTGTGGCTGCCTACAACCTTATCAGGGGCCACCAGCAGGGACTTGGGGAAAGTCTGTTCACCCGGGCCCCCCTTGGAGTCACCAGGAACAATGGCCACAAGCTGAGGAAGGATAGGTTTAGGTTAGATATTAGAAAGAACTACTTCATTGTAAAGATGGCCAGAGCCTGGAATAGGCTTCCTAGAGAGGTGGTGCTCTCACCTTCCCTGGAAATCTTCAAGAGGAGACTGAATAGGCACCTGGCTGGGGTCTTATGACCCCTCCCACCTCCAGTGCTCCTTCCTGCCCATGGCAGGGGGTCGGACTGGACGGTCTGTCTAGGTCCCTTCTGACTCATTGATTCTATGATTCTATTATTTAAATCATGATGTAAATCACTGGTCAGGAAACCTCAATTTAAGCATTGTTTTCTACAAAAAGTGCATTCTTGTTTGATATCTTTTATTCATTTAACTTATTGAAAGTTTGCACTTTTAGATAAAGGTAAAGGTTTGACTGTGTGTACGCAAACTTACAGAAGGACAGTAGGGTTCTGGGTGGGTAATCAGGCCTGTTGTCTCTCATCTCCATATACTGCTGTTAACAAGGATGTTATCTCTGGAGAGAAGAAACTCTCTCCATGCCTGAAGAAGGGTGTTGGTGCCCGAAAGCTTGCAAAGAACATTTTTCCAACTATTTAGCTGGTCTAATAAAAGAGATCACATCTGCCCAAACAACCTTGTCTGCCCATGATCTCTGGAGACACAAATCCACAGTTTGAGAACTGAAACTAAGCATTACAGAGATGCTGAATGGTGTCTTCTAGACTGAGCACTGAGCCCCATAGGGTAGAGTGGTTTTCTTTAATCTGTAGTAATTTATAGATGAGCCTCTGGGAACCCCATAAGATTGGGCCCCTAATATAGTCCATGGCCTTTTGTGGCATATTTATAAAACTTCTAAAAAGGTTACATGAATATATTGTCTCAAATAGTATATAATTGTCACACACACACCATAATAGTGGCATTGATGCGCAAGGCACCAAGATGGCGAGCCCCACCCTTCTTCCCCGCAACCATCACAAAAGGGTAAAACAAACGCTGCCATACCATTACTTTCATTATCAGAGCATCACCATAGATGAGGTCAGCTAGTCTGCAACGCCAAATAAGGCCGGGACACAGAACCCTGAGAAGTGATAGGTGAAAACAGCCAGCTCACAGTTGAGCGTGTCACCTGAGTGATATAAGGGAGCACACAGCTGCACCCAAGCGAGGTCGTTTATCACCCGCTTCGATTATCACAAGGGATGCTAGCCTGATCACCTAGCTTCCGCCTCCCGTTCACGATTAGCAACCACTGAACGCCACTTCATTGCCGGCCCAACATGCTTAGCAGTCTATTTCTCTGCATCTTGTTTCTCTCCTCAACGCTCACTGTGAGTAAATAAATCTCTACCTTCAACTACTCTCCGTCTCCGTGACTATCACCTCACCTCCAGTCTTTTTGGGCAATGTGAGCTGGACTTGCATTAACCGTCCCATAGACAGCTAATCGGCCCTTATAACCCCTCCATTCTGGTCCCTTGCACTGCGATTGGACAGCAGCGTGACATTGCATCATGAACAGGATTCACAGATCCGCTAGTCGCCGTCTGCCTGTGGGATCGGGGCTGCCATACCACCGATGATGATACAGAACTTTGGGTGCATGTGAGTTACCAATCTGCAAGCCTGGCCCCAAAAACTGTCGAGGGTACTTGTCTTTAAAGAAGGGTCAAAAGGAATGGGCCTTCGAGGGGTCACCAGCTGCTTTCGGCTGCCTACTCTCAGACTCCAAGACCCTGTTCCACCCAAATGATGAGGGGCACACTGTGTCCTTGAAGAAAGTTAAGGGGTATGGGACGGGAGACCCCACCCCCGTGCAGACATGGGCCAGAGGTCTGCAACATCTAAAAGATCTAGGAGCTCCCATACCAGTCGATAATTTCCATTGCCCGCCTGTAAAAGAACGCTCAAGGGGGCACAAAATGGCCGGGGATCTTATCAGCGACCTGGAGATGCACGGAAAAGTCGCGCACAAATGGACTGGTCCGACCTGGGACAAACATAAGTGTCTGGGTATCCTCTACCAACACTTTGTAAATGCCATGCGCTCATATTCCAATCTCGAGTTGCAGTTTTGTGCAGCAGTACAGCAAGCCGTGGATACAGAAAAAGAGGAAGTGCCTCCGGCAAAGACAGCGCAGCCACCCGAGGCCACACCTCCCACGCCGTCTGCCCCACCTCCACCATATGGGGGCCAGGACGTAGAGCCATCAAAAGGGGCTCTGCCTAGCCTCTACCTGGAACTACCTCCCCCGCCAGACTTGCCGCAACCCGTCATGGCCCTCCCGATCAGCATCACTAAGGTCACGGTCAGGTTAGATGGGCACCCGGTAACAACGACCTCCTGGTGAAGCAGGTCCCGGGCAGAGATCCGTGACCTAATCACTTCCACTGCACGCCATCCAGGGGAACCGCCGCTAGTCTGGCTGGGCTGGATGGTTATAGATTATAGTTACGACCGAGTTGATCTAGAAGGAACCACCATGATGTTACACAGTCCCATCTGGATGTCCGGACTGGGGGAATTGTGTCAAACCTTAGGAGGCATCAACAACAACTCTGCCCCTCACCTGTCCCTTAACCCACATGAGAACTTTGCGGACTGTTGCCTGCAATTCCATGTTGACAGTTTCAACCTCACCGATGTTTTAGAAGGAATAGACATTGCTCTCAACCTCACATGCCAAGCTCACAACGTAGGGTCAAACCTCGATTGGATGTTCGGCTGGCTTGACATGTTCGGCCTCAGACACTTGAAGAAACTAGCACTAACCGCCCTGATTATTTGCGCAATAGGTATTGCCGTTTGTTGTTTGTTCTGTTTTTTCTTACAATGGCTAAAGTCGCGCCTAATTTGCCTATCTGCTTTTGTATATACACGCTTACCCAGCGCTGACCAAAATAGCTATGAGGCTGTACAAGCGCCATATAATGAAAGTGAATATGATGCTATGGTGTAGACACAGTCAACCTTTGCTGCCTCGCGCAAGGGGGCATGTCACATGCACACCATAATGGTGGCATCGATGCGCAAGGCACCAAGATGGCAAGCCCCGCCCTTCTTCCCCGAAACCATCACAAAAGGGTAAAACAAATGCTGCCATACCATTACTTTTGTTATCAGAGCGTCACCAACATAGGTGAGGTCAGCTAGTCTGTAACGCCAAATAAGGCCGGGACACAGAACCCTGAGAGGTGAAAACAGCCAGCTCACCATTGAGCGCGTCACCTGAGTGATATAAGGGAGCGCACAGCTGCACCCAAGCGAGGTCGTTTATCACCTGCTTCGATTATCACAAGGGACGCTAGCCTCATCACCTAGCTTCTGCCTCCCATTCACGATTAGCAACCGCTGAACACCGCTTCATTGCCAGCCCGACATGCTTAGCAGTCTATTTCTCTGCATCTTGTTTCTCTCCTCAACACTCACTGTGAGTAAATAAACCTCTACCTTCAACTACTCTCCGTCTCCGTGACTATCACCTCACCTCCAGTCTCTTCGGGCAACGTGAGCTGGACTCGTGTTAACCGTCCCATAGAGAGCTAATTGGCCCTTCTAACCGCTCCGTTCTGGTCCCTTGCGCTGCAATCAGACAGCAGCATGACAATAATGAGAAGTTATAATCCCTATTCCATCATGATACATTTAAGCTTTAACATATCTTAAATTACAACTATCTTTATATAGGTTTACTTAAAAAAAACATTTAACAACAACAACAATACGACTAAATAAAAAAATCCAATTTTTTAAAGTAAAAAAAATAGTTGATTTTTATCCACCCTACTTGCAGCTACTGAGCCAGTTATTGATTCACCTTGTAGTTTTGCAAATATAGTACTTTTGCATTTTCGTATGGTTTGTCTTTTTTGGATTTGCAGTCTTGCAACCTTAAATCAAAGTTAATAAAAGGTTTGCATTGTCTAGGGCTGTATATAATCTAGGCCGACAAAGTTGTGAATTGTAGTTAGTTCTTTTAAATGCAGCTTATAGTATAAAGAACTACGCATTTTAATAAACTGTCTTTTAAAACACAGAAAAACTATTCATCTATGTACAATAACTTGGCCCACTAATGCATTTATTATGGTGACTATGAAAGCATAAAGTGTCAAACATAGCTGATCAAGTCAAACATGTAATTAGATGCATCAAAATCACTTTATGAGTTTATGTTTCATTTCTACCCCAGAAGATATTGCTGTCCATCTCAGAAGGAAAATTTACTTAAAGGCTGCAAGTCATGATAAGGAAAAAAATATACAAAAAGTTATGTTTTACTTTTTTTCAGGGTGAACTTGGGTAGAAGGCAAGGTAGGGTGGTACCTTAGAGTCAGAAGTGGTTAGTCACTAATTGCCACTCTGCCCTGCCTTCTTCATTGTTTTATATAAACATATGTAAATTATTCAGATCTTTGTATCAACTTTGATCAATGTTATGAAATAACTCCTGCCAATTTTTCATCCCTTTAGTACTGTATTAATAGTCTGCCAAATCAAAAAAAGATGACTTCTAATCTATATTAAGAACTTTGTTTTTTAAAGAAAACTATATATAGATATTACATATAATTATACCAGGAGAACGTTGGTTGAATTACAAAGGTCTGTGTCACACATTACATTTGTGGAGCAATTGACATGTTAATCAAGCCCTAAATAGTAACATGCCATACGCCACATATTTGGCCAATTTAAGGTGCAATAAATCGAGAAGCCACCCATAAAGATGATCCACATTCGGCATGTCTACATGTGCAATTAATTAAAAGCATGTTGTGCCAGAGTTTATTGCTCCTGGGTGCCACATTTACATGCACGTGCAGGACCACAGCATATTGAGCTGGGTTGGAGCAGCCCTAGCTGGCAGGAGGCGCAGTGGGTTAGCCTGCCAGACTAGGGCTGCTCTGACCTGGCCCAATGTGCTACAGAGGGGCTGGCTGGGGCACAAGGGTGCTCCAGTGCAGGGCTAGCCAGCAGGCAGCCCCCACACTGAAGCACTCTTGTGCCCCAGCCAGCCCCATCAGCATTTACATGTGTGCTGCAGTGCACTAAAGAACCCAGCTGCAGGATAGTACTTGTATTTACAAGTACTAACTTGCAGCAGATTTTATTTGTTTCCTGCAGGCTATTAGGGGCGGCTACATGTGTAGACACCAAGACTTTTACTGTTAAGCTAATTAGGTAGTTCTGCAGTAAATGTCTCATGGAGACTCACCCATTGTGTGTTAAATTTAACATGTGGCACTCCCTGCTACCCCATGCCTGATCCTGACACTAATCTGATTGGGCATGGGGCAGGATTGGGTACAGGGTATATCCAGAGTCTGGTACAGGTACTTCCATTATCAATCCTCAAGATTGTGCTGGTGACCACCCTGGGTCTGAACAGGGACTGGGGCTTCCTGGTACCAGATTGTGAAGCTTAGCTGAGCCTTGGGATTTGACATAGGGCTGCCCCAGAGTGCAGTGCAAAGCCTACCCCTGTCCAATTCATGGGACTGAACTGGGCGCAGTTCTGGGTTCTGATTCTGGCTGCCCCTTTTTCTATCCCCGGACGCAGCCCTGGGTCTGATTGGGTTTCAAAATATATGCACAACCACAGATGGGGGAATTTATCTTACCCCTAGCTGCATACGCACATTTAAATAGGCACCTAGCTCATACAAGAGGGGATGGCGGAGCTTCCCCCATAACCCAATGTTC